TATTCTGTGCTCTGAATGGATGAGAAAAGGATGAGAAAGAGTGCTGATGCAAAACAATGAGTCTGTTAGGTATTCCACTTTTGGCTTCTTCCTGCAACTTGTACATTGCAGAATGAAGAAACGTAGAAAGATTTTATTAACTCTACAATGCGTTGTTACATTTTGCGGGTTGGTGATATTTTAATGTTCATTCATTCATTCAATTTGTGTAGCCGCCCATCTCAGACCAGTGACTTAATTAATTCTTTGCGGGTTGGTGATATTTTAATGTTCATTCATTCATTCAATTTGTGTAGCCGCCCATCTCAGACCAGTGACTTAATTAATTCTTTGCGGGTTGGTGATATTTTAATGTTCATTCATTCATTCAATTTGTGTAGCCGCCCATCTCAGACCAGTGACTTAATTAATTCTTTGCGGGTTGGTGATATTTTAATGTTCATTCATTCATTCAATTTGTGTAGCCGCCCATCTCAGACCAGTGACTTAATTAATTCTGTTTCCTCACATGAAATAGAATTAACCTAGGATTAGCATATACATGAACTATGTATGTATACACACACAGTCATACACAAACATACATCATAGAATTAATTATACAAATATAATCATGGAAGGAATTATGCACTGCAGCCAAATGGATTCTTTCTATTCGTGGGTACTACAGCTTTCGAAATCTGAACTGCTGAGGAGCAAAAGACGACGGCTTTCTTTATACTTAGCTAGTTGATCTTCCTGGTTGAACCCTTTGGGAACAGTTGTTAACATTACCTGGTGCTTGCCAGAAGCCTCCTGGCTAAAATCCTCAGCCAGAAAAGTCATTAGCCGTGTCTGCTGGGTCCTGGAAGTTATAGTTCGTGGTAGTTAAAAGTACAATATTTCTAAAAGGCATCAGGTTGGGAAAATCTTCCCTTTTGACAGATCCTTGATATTTATTTCCCACCTTTTCTTCAGGAGCTCAAGGCACCATTTGTAGTGCTCCCTCTTCCCACTTTGCCCCACAACAGCAGCCCAGTGAGGTAGGTCTGGTTGACTGAGAGTGTCTATCCCAAACTCATCCAGTGAACTTCTGTGGCTGAGGGTTGACTTGAACCTGGGTCTCCCCGCTGTCAGTTCAACTTCAGTTCAACACTACATCACACTGGTGTGCTTTTCAAGTTAAGTCTTTTTTTGCTTTAAGAACATTTAGCTTTCATTGTATCTCTTGCATGTTTGGGTTTATGATTAGTTTTCAAAAACGCTGCTTTTTCTTGCTTGTTTGCTTTGTGATAATTTTAAGATTAGTTTTGGTTATATCCATATTTCTTGGAAATGCCTGCTTACTAGATAACTGCATTATCCTAAATTACAAAAGCTATCACTTCTTATATATTGTGTTTTATTTTAAATATAGAAACTCCTACAACTCATCATATTTACCTTGTCTTATTTAATTTCTCCTTCATTGGCTTCTAATTTCTGACATTGCTGTGGGTGAAGGCAATATTGTTTGAACAATTTCTTAAAAACAACTTTGAAGAAGCTGCTGTAACAAAGTGGAGGGATGATGAGTTGCTGTAATTGTTTTGAAAAGGCATCCAACATATCTTGTCAACCAAAGTCAAGGGATTCAAGCAATAGCAGATACTAAAAGCAGCCTGTCTTGCTTCCCAGGTGGTGCAGTGGCTCAACAAGTTCCTGTGCAAGCCATCCAGGTGCATCAGGCCCCCCAACAGACGTCTCCCACAAGTGACAGCAGCACTGACCTCACACAGACCTCTTCCAGTGGGACAGGTAGGCAACCACCAACCACCCCTAACTATCATTCTGTAGCTGTGGGCCAGTTGCACTCCAATGTTGTCCACCAGAACTCAACACCAAGAAGCCCAATACAGGTAGTCCTTGGGTTATGACAGCAATTGGGACCGGAATTTCCATCACTAAGCAATGTAGTTGTAAAGTGTGATGTCACATGACTGCATTGCTTAGCGACAGCAGTCCTGGTTGCTGTTGTAACCCAGGACCATGCAGGTCGTTAAGCAAGGACCTCACATGACTCTGATGTGGGAAGAGGCAGGAGTCCCAGGCAAGCAGTCTGGCAGGCAAGAGCTACAGGCAGGTGGGTGCCATGGGCGGGCATTTAAGGAGCATGGGTGGGCAGGTGAAAAAGTGACAGGAACAGTAACGACTTGCAGGAGTGACTTGCAACCTCCTCCCAGCTTCCCCATTGGCTTTGCTTAGGGAAGTAGGCAGGGAATGTCGCAAATGGCAATCACATGACCACAGGACGCTGCAACCATTGTAATTGTGAGCTGGTTGCCAAGCGCCCAAGTCGCAATCATGTGACTGCAGGGATGCTGTGACAGCCGCAACTCAAAGACTGGTCATAAATCCCCCTCGCTCAGTGCTGTCATAACTTTGAACGGTCACTGAACTAGTGGTCATAACCAGAGGACTACCAGTAACAGTGGTGTGATTTTCTGCTGATTTTTGGCAGAAAATTTTAGAGACGAAATGAGCAAAGCCTCCAGTAGACTAAGCGCATGTATATAAGTTTTTAAAAACTCTCTGTGCCCCCCACCCCCCACAAAGCAACAGCTCTGTGAGTTGGATCAAAACTGCCCTGGTTTCAATTTCATTTGGTCAGTTCAAAACGTGCGCTTAAGACAATATGTCATCGGTGTTTCCTATTTCTTGGGAAGATTGTCTTGTAATATTCATCGTCCTTCATCTGAAGAACTGCATGTAGGAGGAGGACCAGATTTACTCTCTTCTGGGGCAAAGGGCAGATCTATAACCAGTGAGTCAAAATTTTGAGGTAGTAGTTTTTTGCTCAGATTTAGGAAAAAACTCCTAATATGTTTGATGATGAGACGTGAGAAGTGAATGGCTCTCCTTTGCTTGAGGCTGAATAGCAGGTTTTCCTGGTTATCATAGTTGCTGCATGTCTTCCAATTTTATAATAATATGGTATTTTCTCCCTGCTCGGGAGATGGTAGGGGTACTCTGCTGAGATCTACTATTTAATCTTCTTGCTTCTTGCAGTAATAGGAACTTATTCTACATTATTCTTGTCTTGGGCCAAAGTTTATCACTGTCCACGAGGTTATGATCTTCTCTGAGGTCAGCAGTTCCTTGTCTAGTTAGTGCTGATAAGTCAGCAAAAAAAGTTAGCAAAAGTATAACGAGAATACAACTTTAGTGCCATCTAGTGGGACTAGTAAAAATATATTCCAAAAATATTTATATTATTTTTTTAGTTAAAGTTTGTAAAGATAAATGAAATTATTTCCAAATCAAACAATTCCTATCTCTGAATTATTATTTACATTGTATGGTGGCAAGCCATGGTACTAGAAAGTTATTTTACAAGGGTAAATAAACTAAAGTCTGTTTTGTGTCAAACTTGATTCCTGGTGACTTCATGGACATGTGTGAAGTTTTCGTAGCAACAGCATGGAAGTGATTTGTCATTGTCTTCCATGATGACGTGTGGGTGGTGTTGTTTTTTTACCTTTCAGTATAGTCTATATCCCTGGGGTTTCTAGTGGTCTCCCATCCAATATTAATTAGGTCCAGCCAAGAGCAGGCCATCCCAGTTTCCTGATGGCATTCCTATATGATTGTTAGGCTTTTTCTTAATCTGGCACAGATCACAGACACAAAGACTGAATTTGGTTTTTTCCCCCCATAAAAACTGTTTTATTACACAAAATTAAAGTCCTGTTCCTTACTTCTAATCTTAATGCTAATTCTTTGCTTGTTTCTATTTTCTTACCTGTCTTAATCTAGAGCAGTATTTCTCAACCTTAGCAGCTTTAAGAGGTATGGACTTCAATTCCCAGAATTCCCTAACTGGCATGCTGGCTGAGGAATTCTGGAAGTTGAAGTCCATACCTCTTAAAAGTTGCTGTTGAGAAACCCTTATCTAGAGTTTTCCTGTTCCTATAACTGTACAACTACATCTATTTTATTTAATCTATGAATGTCTATCTCTATGTTCCTATCTCTATGTTGGTAGCACTATATTTTTCTATCTTAATTGTTTCCTGGCTCTTTGAGTTTTTCTTGTTTCTCCAGGTTTTCAGCTCTTGTAGCCGGTCTCAGTCCTTTTGCATGTGAAACCCCTCTTCACTCCTCTATAGACTTGTGAATGGGGCTTTTCTCTCCCACCAACACTCACAGTCCTCTCTTCCAAGACTTGCTGTTTCTTTTCCTATGCTGGAGATTCTTGATTTCTGGTCTGTTTTATGGGACAAATTCTCCAATTAAGGAGAGGGTGGGGCTGTTCTGACCCTACTTTCTGGGCAGCACCAAAGCTCCACATCCCAGGAATCTGGAAGGGGATACACCTGCTCATTCTGGGTGACAAGTTCCTTCTTCCACAATTATGCCTTTGTAATCACATACTGTATATTTTACACATTCATACTTTGTTTTTAGATACAATTTTCTAACCATGCCTAAAAAAATAACAACAGATAGGAGTGTTC